AGTTGAATTTCATGTAGTGGTAAGTACTGTCTTGTGGAAATTTTGTTTCGGTTATACATATGTACATGTGAAACGAGTTATGAAGTAAAAGGTATTGCTTACAATGGGTCTGGATCCAGAAATGTTCAAAAGCTACTCCTTTAGAGATATGCTGATAGACCCCTAAAACGGAGGATCCCCTCTCTCATCCAGTTTGCACTGCTCCAATCTAGCCTTCCATGCTAGTAGTAGAGGAGTGTCTGGCTTCGTTAGGGAAAAATACATAATCTGAGAATTGGAACAGAGGCACTGTTCAGGTAGATTAAGGGTTGAGTGGGAACTTTGAATCTATAAGATTGTCTGCCATTTTGGCAGAGAGCTGAAAGAAGTCATGTTGCTATTGCAGCACAAAAGATGGAAGCTAGACACAAATAACAACATCCTACTGTGACCAGTGTTAGCATCTAAAACAAATCCTTAAGAAAGTATAGGTTCCCATTTGGCTGAGAAACAATCTACTTAGTCAGGGGACTGGATAAGATGACCTCTGGGGCCCCCTCCATTGGGAAGATATAATGATTCTAGAAAGGATCCTGCAACAGAAGCAGGCAGTTAACCTGAGATGTGTTATCTTGCTATCACCTCCCAGCATTTGATTCTGAGGTATTGTTGGATAGAACAATAAATGTGACACAGTGGCCAATGAAGACCTTCCATTGTCAAGTGGGTCATCTACTTCTCTGAGGAAATTCTGACACTTTAGGGCTTTAGAATGCTTGAGGTTTTAGAAGAGACATTAGCCCCTCCCCAACATCAGGCCTGAAATTCCTCAGATAAGGAATCTTATCCTTTGGATAAGGCTCTGTTTTTTCCATTTAAAACGTACATTCTCCTTTGGCTCAGAATTTCAGCCTTTCACGTTTGTTTTTCCCACTTATCAAAAAGAAGCTTGGGTTAAAGAGAAAGTTTGAGAAACAATGCAACACTACTTTAGTGGGAGTTGATGTGGTTTGTTCAGAAATTCATTCAGCAAACAAAGATTAAGGCTAATTGGAGCCCTGGATGTTCCTGCTTTTGAAGTTCTCATGGTCTGAAGCAGACCTGTAAACAGGTAAATCACAACCCATGTCTGAGGGTTGTGGAAAGACCCTAGGCTTCAGAGCCACACAGACCTGGGAGGGAATCACATAATTGTGCTAATTTAGGCCATGCAGCTGAGCTTTGGTTTTCTCATCTGTAAACTGATGAGAACAAAACCAACTTCACAGAATTGTGAAGACCATGTGAAAGACAAAATGCACCAGGCAATTAAGGAGATGGTTTTATTCAGGCTATAGCCATAGAGAAAATGTTCAAAGAAAAAAAAAGGAAAGTTAGGGTTTTATAGAGGCAGGTAAACAAAGGAGTCATCACAAGTCTTACGGGAGTCGTGAAGCAGTATGGAGAGGGTCTTATCCTGGAATACGCCAGAGCAGTGTGGTCCTTTATAATTAGCTGTTTTTTGGAACACAAAAGGTTGGGGGAGTTTCTCAATTGTGGCTGCTTTCTTGAAGCCCAGGGCTCAGATAAAGTTCAATGCTGTCAAGCACTTTGCATAGTACATAGCACATAGCCTGGCCCATGGTAGGCATTCAGTGTTTCTTTCCCTTCCTTCCTCCAATAGAAGGATGTACAAGTGGTGTGGGGATTCAGAGAAGGGCTTGACAGATTTACTCTGTTTGGGGGAACTGATTTTTTTTCTTTTTTTTTGTTGTGAGGAAGATCAGCCCTGAGCTAACATCCAATGCTGATCCTCCTCTTTTTGCTGAAGAAGATTGGCCCTGGGCTAACATCCGTGCCCATCTTCCTCTACTTTATATGTGATGCCACCGTAGCATGGCTTGACAAGCGGTGCATCGGTGCATGCCCAGGACCTGAACCTGCGAACCCTGGTCCGCCGAAGCGGCACTCCTGGGGGCAGGGGGGGAATGACTGATTTTGACAAAGGATCCTGAATCTTAAAGGATGAATAGTGGTTTGCCAGAAAGAGGGAAGAAAGGAGAGAACTCTAGAGAGTGCTAACATAATAGACAAAGGCACAGAGGCTTACAAGAGGTTTGCATATTTAGAGACCAGCTATAACTTCAATGTGGTACAGGGAGTAATTGGACATGAGGTAGGTTTGAGCCAAATTGTAAAAACCCTTGAAAAGCCATTTAATGCCTACTTTTTCAGGAAAACAGTTCAGGAATTTATGATTCTAACAAGATGAGGTTCAAGTTTGTGAGCCCTCTTCCCTGCTGTGTAAGGGATGGAAGCAAGGAGACCAGTTAGGAAGGTAGTACATGATCCAGAGAGGACCAAGGCCTGAACGAGAACAGTGGCCATGAGGATGTCAAGGAGAGGACTGTTTAAAAGATAGTTAGTAGAATTTACTAGACAGATTATGTAGTTGTGGGGAGGGGCAGCATGGAGGTGAGGGAGGAGGTGGATAGTAGAGGATGATAATGTTAATAACAATATAGGCTAATATTTCAAGTGCTTACAATGTGGCATGCACAGTTCTAAGAACTCTACACTTACCTTTTTAAATCGACACAACAGTCCTACGAGGTAAGTGCTCCTTTTTCTCCATTTTAAGATGAAGAAAATCAGAGAAGTTAAATAACTTGCTTGAGTTTTCACAGATAGTGCTGAAGCCAGAATTCAAGCCCAAGCTGTCTGAGTGCAGAGAGTGAAATTTGGATGACTGTGTGGACGTTGTTGACATTTACCGGGATTGAAGGAGTGGCAGGGCAGATTTTTGGGGAAAGTATTTTAGTTTTGGAAAGATTAATACTGAGTGTAGCAGGCAGTTGATTAAATGAATCTAGAGCTTCAGAGAAAGATTAGGACCAGAGCTGGAGACTTGAAAGGCATCAGCATATAGGTATGTGCTCAGTAGGGGCCTCAGGACTGCCTCAGGTGAATGGGATGCACAAAAGTGGGGGTGGGGAGTTAGAGGGAGGGGAATGGTGAAACAAATGGAAGCAGTGCTTAAAGACAAATTTGATCAACTTCAAGATTCATAGGCAATGCCTTAGACTTGGAGAATGCTTGTTTAATTCAAGACCACTGGTACAGCTGGAGGTGTCCTGCAGCACCACATGCCTAGGGATTCTTAGGATTCTTGAGGATGTACCAGGATGGATTCCATAGTGCCTGTGGTAGGCTGAAAAAATTGCACACCCAACCCCCACCCCCCACCCCCCAAAGACATCCATATCCTAATCCCTGGAAAGTGTGAATGTTACTTTATATGGTAAAATAAATAAATAAAATAAAATAATGCTACTTTATATGGTAACATAAATTTAATTGCAGATATAGTTAAATTAAAGACCTTGAAATGGGGAGATTATCCTGGATTATCCAGACGAGCCCTAAATGTAACCACATGTAGTAGAGGGAGGCAGAGGGAGATCTTAAACAGAGAAAAGATAAAGTGAAGATGGAGCAGAGAAACATTTGAGGATGCTGGACTTTAAGACTGGAGTGATGTGGCTACAAGCCAAGGAACGCCAGTAGCCTTTAGAAGCTGGAAAAGAGAAGAAATGGATTCTCCCCTAGAGCAGCCAAAGGGACTATGGTCCTGTCAGCACCTTGATTTCAGCTAAATGATACTGATTTTGGACTTCAGACTTCCAGAACTGTGAGATCAAAAATTTCTGTTGTTTTAAGCCACCAAGTTTGTGGAAATTTGTTATAGCAGCCACAGGAAATTAATATAGTGCCTCCTCAAAGGCATCACTACTTAATATACTTGATCCAATAATCCCATTCTCAATAGGTCTCAGGCCTCATTTGCCACATATTAGACATGGTGCTCTTGTTACATGCTTTGGTCAAGTTTTCTTGGAATACATGGAATAGGGAGACCTTCAGCTTCACGGGGTAGGAAAGAGGAAGCGTAGGGGTCTTTACCTGAAAAAGGACTAGCTTCTAACCCCCCTTCTAATCATTCAAATGTTCACGGATGATTCCTGCAGACCTAGCAGGCCCTTTGACTGGACTGGATCCTGATGGGTCGTATAAGCCATCTTCCTGTCTTTGCCTGCACTCACCCGAAGGTGAAAGGGTATCTGGTTTCTGGTAGACACCTGGCTTACTGGTTGGCATGGCTACTCAGGACAGAGTAACTGTCATTCAAGAACCACAGGCAGACTACATCTTAGGAGAAGCTGGCTGGAGAAAGAGGCGCATATGGAGAATGGATTGGAATTTGTTCCTCTCAAGTCAAACAGAGCGACTTACAGTAATGCTGTTAAGATTGCTAGCAACAGTTTTCTCTCAAGTGTTAGACTGGAAAATAACTTCTGTGAGAAGGACTGAGACAGAGTCCTGAATACATTTTAGCCAACGTGTAAAACCAGAAAGGCTTCATAATATTGCTTTCCCCCCAGAACTGCAGAATGCCAAGGAATTATGCAGAAAAATTAAGTATACCTTTGTGGATATTGAAACCAACAAAGCAGTGGAATGCTGGCAGAGTAAAATCCTACAATTCTCAGCTATGAAAGAAAACCTAGAGGTCACTCAGTCTAAGCCCCTCACTGTACAGATGTGAAAACCCAGCAGATTTTTCATCTCAACTTCAGATATCTAGATATTAGATATTTGCTCTGTACTCTTGCTCCAGTGTCAATAGCGTTTTACTGGATCAGGTGCTGATTCATGGCAATAAAAACATAAGACCATTTGCAGTACACTGGATTATCACAATCCCTTCCCTGCCCGCCAATGGGCGCAAACTAACATTCCTCCTGCAGTGCAGACACATCCCTCTCGGTCTGGGACAGAAGCCCGTTAGCAACGAGGAAATTAGCGGAACCTTGAGGCCGAACGCTTGCAGCTGCTACGGTTGCTTTGCGAAAAGAACACATCCGGCCGGCGAGGACGTACTCCCATCTCGTGTTTGGTCGGCCCCCTGCCCTCGCGTTCCGATTTGCCACGCTAACGCTGGGAGGCGGGCTTGCGTCGGGGTCACGCTCTCCTATTGGCTACTGGTGCGGCGGCGGTTTGGAGTGAGCGTGGCTTGTTGGGCTGCAGGCTGTGAGGAGGGCCGCGGTGCAAGCTGCGTCGAGTCCAGTGTCTGGTGGGAATCCGGGGCCGGGCCAGGTCTGGGTCACCGGGTGATGGATCGCGTGTGGAGTGCGTGGTGCGGGAAGTGCGTCCAAGAGATAGAGTCGTCGCCACTTTGGGCACAGCGCATCGTGGTCGCCTGGCTCGGTAAGGCCGAGTGGGATCAGGTGACGGTGTATCTGTTCTGTGACGACCATAAATTGCAGCAGTACGCGCTGAACCGCATCACCGTGTGGAGAAGCAGGTAAGGCGGCAGGCTCAGCCCTCCTACCTGCGTGCTGGTGGCGCCTCACCTCTTCCTTTGTAGAATTTGTATAAGGCTTTATTCTCCTAAATTGCCTAGTGGTGCCCGTGTGAGTGGTTTGGGCGTTGCCCCTCTCCCAAGTGCCTGGGGGAAAGTCTCAGCCAAGCTCTTGCACTAATCCCGTTTGCAGAAAGAAAGGGAGTGTGCCTTAACAATCCTCCTGTAAAATCTTCGAGCTTTGACCCTCACCTTCTCCCATCTTGGGGAGGGTGCCGGAGGGACCAGTGTGGCTGAGCCAGTGCTTAAGTAGTAGGTTAATATCCTAGGGTGGATTTCCGATTCGAATGGGGGCGGGGGTGGTTTGCCTACAAAACCATGTTGGAATGGGCCTCCTCAGTCCAGTTGAGAGCAGACAAAGGGTAAAGGTCTCAAGGGATAAGGGTCTTCTCCAGTTGAATGAGTTGAGGGTTTCAGGGTGAAAGAAAGGGGTGTGTCCACACTTGTTGGTTGATTGCATAGCAGTTAGATGTCCTGTATATATCCTAGACAGCTTCTCATGCCCTCTGTACTATTGGATCCCAGGGACGTTATCCTCCCTCTTCCCATCTTCTTGATTTGTGTCTGTTCATGCACTCTTCAGCCAATATATAATTGGAATAACCTACAGCAACCTAGGTTCTGAGGTGGAGGGTGGATCAGTGTAAGGGACCTTTATGATGGTGCTGGACTGTGGCCCTTTAGGTTAGGCAACGAACTCCCCCTGGCAGTGGCTTCTACTGCTGACCTGGTACGCTGTAAGCTCATGGATGTAACTGGTGGCTTGGGCACTGATGAACTTAGACTGCTCTATGGCATGGCATTGGTCAGGTAAGACCTACCACGGGTGGGAGTGGGGGGTGGTTTTGGGGGGGGTTGGGGTGGGGGTAGCACATGTTAAGCAAAGCTTGGGTTACCCTGTGATTGCTTGACTTGACAGCTTTTGGTACCCCCTATCAACACATGTTTCTCTTTTTCCTTTCCTGAGAGCCTTCTCTCTTTCATTTTTCTTTCCATCTGTTTCTTGGAATGTGGGGTGGGGGTGGTTCACACCAAGAGATCTCTGTGGGTCTCTTCCAGCTTTGACAGTTTGTTTTTCTTCCCCTTTAACTCTTTCACCCAGAGGAACTTTTCTGAATGGTTCCATGTCCTTGGCCATAATTTAATGTAGATTTTCCAATCCTCTCCCCATTTATACTTAGCACCACCCTTTTCCCCTTCTCTCCACGAACACTGAAAGGTTGCTGAGTTGTGGAAGTGGAGATGTGGCCCAGTAGTTCGTGACTCACAGAGTGACTCATAGTGATTCTAGCAGGCTCATGCACATTGGGAAAAAGGCTGTCACTGAGTTTTTTCATCTGTCAAAGTCTTTGCTCATCTCATACTCTTCCCCTTATCTGCCTGGAGGCCCTCCCTAGCTCTTCTTACCTTCTCCATCATTTAGCTGTGCTTCCCGTATCATTTTATGTAGTCCTTCGTCCTAGCATTATAGTATTATGTTCCAGCATAATATGTTACATTATGTTGTGATTATTTATCCTAGACTGAATTCTTCAAATCCAGAGCAGTGTCTTACTCATCTGTACGGCTTCAGTACAGGGCAGACCCTCAGTAATTGTTGGACTGGATGGAACTGTCCCTGCTCTGGCTGACACCAACCATAAGAATAGGACAGAACACTCAGTGGAAAGGTTGTGGAAATGCAAAGTGTCAGTAACTCAGCAAGGTGTTTTGAAGCCCCACTGGTTTGAGTAAAACAGTTGCTTGGGCTGTGCCACTTATTTCTCCCTCAACTCCAGGTTTGTGAATCTTATTTCGGAAAGGAAAACAAAGTTTGTCAAGCTCCCCCTCAAGTTCCTGGCTCAGGAGGTGTGTATGATAAAGTGGTCTTGCTCAATTCTCTCTCCCCAGGAGGGCTCACTAAATGGGGCATGGGGTGATGTGGGCACACAGTCAGACTAGCTCATCCCACCACTACTGGCCAGGCCAAGCCCAGCAAGAACCCCAGAGCCTCAGCCTCCAACATGAAAGAAGCACACTTACTCCCTTGCTCATGGCTGCTATCTTCAGTTGGCTTTACTGCCCAGCTTGCTGGGAGTGGCCCAGTGAAGCTGAGGCACCTGGATGCTCCACTGGGTGGGGACAGGAAAGAGGTGGCAGTCACAGCGCCTGCCTTCTGGGAGCTGACAGTCTGAGGGAGGAGACACGCTCAGCCAAGTAGCATGAAAATGCCAGACGTTCCTGCCCTCAGTGAGTATGTGAGATGTGTAGAGGCCCAGAGGGCAGGCAGGTTCTCAACCATAAAGAGAAGCATCCTGGAGGAGGTGTGGGAAAGAGGGAGGAAGGAGGGGTAAAGGGTACCCAGGGAGAGGGACTGGTATAGACAGGTTGGAGGGAGGCTGGAGAAGATGATTGTTAATGCTCATTCACAGGAACCTCTTTGTTGAAGGAGGGTGTTTGGTGGCTGGGGGAGGCGAGTGTTTTTTCTGATTTTCAAGATCACCTCTGCAGAGTAGTAAAAAGAATTGGGAGACCTGGTTTCTAATCTTAGCTCTGCCACTAAGACTGGAACCCCTTCTCAGGACCTCAATTTCTCTATCTGTAAAGTGGAGGGAGGCCAGGCTAATTCATCTCTGTGGTCCCTTCCAGCTTTAATATTTTCTAATTTCTACACTCAACGTCCTCCCCCACAATCAGGTGAACATTCCAGATTGGATTGTTGAACTTCGCCATGAGTTGACCCACAAGAAAATGCCCCATATAAATGACTGCCGCAGAGGTGAGTCCCCAGGGAGTATAAATATCATAGTTAAGCCCAGGTAGAGGGAGGAAGGTCTCCATCTGGGGTCAGAGCCAGGACTAGGGCGAGGCAAGTGAGGCACTTGCCTTGGGCACAAACTTTAAGGGGGCATCGGAACTCAGTAATCAAGATAAATAACATTTTAATGTGGAAAAACCCACAACAAAATATCAAATTTTAAGTAAAGACAGGATTAGTGTTACTGATTTCTCCTTTTGTAATGTGGCTTGGCAGGGCACTGTTCTGATCTTGTTTTGATATCTCGATTATTGAGTGTTTGGGCATTCCTTAAATTTTGTGCCTGAGGAGGAGAGTGGCAGGGGGCAAGTTGAGAGGTGTGAGCCATCAAGTGTCATGAACCCAGGGGTTCTTTGGACACCCCATCCTAACTAAGGACCCCTGCTTCAGCCTAGACCTTTCGTGCAGGGGAAACAGATCTAGAAAAGATCTCAGACCAAGGCCATGTAACTAGCCAGTGGGGCTGGGTCTTTGTTCTCCCACTTGCCAGCCCTGTGCCATTTTTGTCATTCCATATCCAAGCCTAGTATTAGCTTTTTCTAGGAAAGGTACTGGTGAGCAGGAGACAGCAAAGAACAGAGGGATAACCCAATGAAAGAGGGGCAGCTTCTGGATATTTGAGATTTGTGCCTTCTTGGAGCCACGCCTCTTCCCTGGGGCCTTCCCATAATGCTTGCAAGATGAGGCTGGGGACCTGCTAAGAGCTGCTAGCCTGTGGCTGGTCCTATGGCACTGCCTTTCTTCCTCTCCTCCTTTAGGCTGCTACTTTGTCCTGGATTGGCTCCAGAAGACCTACTGGTGCCGCCAACTGGAGAACAGCCTGAGAGAGACCTGGGAGTTGGAGGAGGACACGGAAGAGACAGATGAAGAGGGCCAAGAGGATAAGAACATTGTTGTTGATGATGTCACAGAACAGAGACCGGAACCTAAGGATGAAGGGAAAGATGCAGAGCTGGATGTCCGGGCTGAAGGAGACCACAAAAGCAACACAGAGGCTGATTTGCATTGGGAAAAGGCTCTGAGACATAAAGAGCTATATGGTAGGTGTTCTTGTCGGGGCAGAAAGGGGCCCATGAGCCTGGAAGACTCAAGCTTAAGGTTGACACTGGTGGTTTCCCTGGCTCAGCATTTCCTCTGGGGTTGTGGTGAGTCTTAGCTTAAAAAAATTACTATCTCAAGCATCTTCCTTGATCCCTGTGAAGTAGGAGAGGCAAGAATTCTAGTTCCCAATTTACAACTCAAGAAATGAGGTGAGAGGGGCTCAGAATCCCATTAGGAACAGGGTGCTGGGCTGGCTGCCCTATCTGTTTCCCTATTCTGTTTTCAGAAAGAGCCCGGGAACTGCTGGTATCATATGAAGAGGAACAGTTTAAGGTAAGAAAGTGCCCTTGATTTGGCATGTTCTCTCCTTCCCCAGCCATTTCTTCCCTCTTGCCAGCTACCTTAGAGAAATCCTAAGAAGGAATTTTAAAGAAAAGTGGCAAAGCTTGAGGGAACTTCTCAGAAACAGGAGAAGCAGAGTCCAGTTGGCTAACCCTCCACACGAATGGAGGGGGGAGATGCTGAAAGTTTGTGGATAATCTGCCCCATGGGGTGGTGGGGAACAACTGGACGTAGGTGGTTGCATAGACCTGCGGTACTGCAGCTGATCAGCAGATGGTGCCCAGGAACTTTCCTAGATCAGGTGAGCTTGAGGGGAGCTGTTTTAGCAGAAAGGAAGGTAGCTTAGAAACCATTCAGCTGAATCCTTCCTTTTCACAGACAAAGAAACTGAAGCCATGGATAATTGAAGGGACTGGCCCAAGGTCACATAAGCAGTTAGTGATAGAACCAGGATTAGAGCCTGGGTTTCCTGATTTCCTTTCTTGCATAACCCATTGCTTCCCCTCCCCCTTGGCCCAAGGGTCTCTACCCAACTCCAACCAAATTCTCCCGCTAGATATCTTAGTATTGGGGTATGTGGTGATTGGGAGCCACAGGGAATTCAAGGGGTATGGGGAGGAGGAGGAGGAGAAGAAAGTCTGGCGTTTGAAGGTCAGGATATTTTTAGTTGCAAGACCAATAGGGGAGTTAGGGGCCCACCCCTGCATGCCCTGCCCTATCCCCTGAAGGGAGGTGCTGAGAGGTCCTATGGGAAGGGATCCTGGAGGGGTGGAGGAGGGTTGCCTGGCTGAACCAACCTTCTGATGGGATCCTTTTTGCTGGCAGGTTCTGGAGAAATTTAGGCATTTACCTCAGGCCATTAAGGCATGGAATAACCTGTCCCCACCTGTAGAATGCATCCTCGCTGAGCTCAAGGGCATTACATGGGAGAACAGGTTCGTAACTAGGTAATCAGAGGCTGCCTACTCTGGGGTAGAGCGTAGCAGCCTCACTGAAATTGGTTTCCATATCCCAGCTTGCCAACCTCTACTGTAGGAAATCCCAAGGATAATCCTGATCCCTCATGGGGTGACCCTGCATTCTGCATGACCCTCTTGTCCTGGCCCTGCCAGCGACCAGGTGGGAGTTGCCTACTCTGAGTCACTAAAATGGCCAGAGGCAGGAATGTCGGCGGTCATCCATCCCCTGGCCAGCTTTGTTCTTCTCCGTCCAGTGGTATGTGGAACTCTTGGCAACTAGGAGAATTACCGCCTCACTGCCTAGCCCTTGTCCAAGTTTGAGGTAAAAGATATATGGTGGGCACTGCTTGTCTTTTCTTTTGAACTGCTATTGGAGAGTGTCAGTATCCACTGGATAGTCATGGTTGGGGGTACCAAGGAGGGGCCTTCCCAGGGCCTGGGTCCTCAAACGACTAAGTCCCTCCTCGCTTAGTATGGCCATGAGCCTTTTTCCCAAAAAATAGTGCTCAGTTCAATCCAGAGCAGACAAACAGCGTCTATCCATTCCTCTTCTCCCTAGCTCTTGGGGGCTTGCTACCTAAATTTAGCTGAAAAGGTCTTTGGGGAACCTTCCACTAAGAACCTGTGGAGGCAGTGCTAGACCTTCCCAGCTAGGGAGAGGTTGGAAGGAATCTAGGATGGAGCAGAGTGTATAGGAAGGTGGTCTAGGTGGCAGTGGGCTTGGGTGGGAGCCTACAGTGCAGGTTGGGATTACCCCTGGAGTCTTCTTCATTCCCAGGATATTACTAGTTCCAAAGGTGTTTTATCAATGTCTGCCCAGCCTAGGCTTCTTGGCTGCACCTTTCAGCAAAAGGATGGGTGGTAGCCTCTTCCGCAGCTGGGAAAACTATCCTTGTGCCTCTATACAGTAGTGTCTGCCTGCTTGTGCTTAGCAGGCAGCTGGCTGGCTGCTTCAAGTGCTCTTCCTGGATACTGAACTGAGGAGATGGGAGAGGGATGGAAGGACAACTCCTCCTTGAGCCTGGTGCGGGGGTGGGGGATCTGAGCATGACCACCCTTCAGGCATTGAGACACCTTGGGAGCTCTTGTTCTCCCTCTAGGCCTTGTCATCTAGGAGAGCCTCTTGGGGAACTGCTAGCTCTGGAGAAGACAGCTGGCTCTTGCTGGTTTCGCTTTGAACTAGATGAGGATGAGGGATTACCCCTATAGCCTATGCTTTCAACCTCTATAACTTACTACTGGGTTCTTGGAATCCCTAGGAATAAGGATCATATTTGGTCCAGCAATTGTCTCCCCAAAGTTTCTGCATCTAGGATCTGAAACAGGGCAACCAGGAAGAGGGGGAGGGCTAGGAGGCCAGAGGACTGTCAAGAGAAACAGAAAGACTGAGCAGGAACTAAAGTCTAAAAGCCCTGTGACCCCAGACATTTAACTCCTCTGTGGGCCTGGGACTTTTCACCATCTGTATTTTCAGTCTTGTTCAGCCACTACTGCCCTCATTGTGGGTCTTAGATCAGCATGTGCTTGGCAAATGCTTGTTCAAAACCCACTGATCCCAGTCTCTGGCCCAGCCCCTTGCCCAGGAGGCTAAGACTTGAGATCCAACTGTCACCTGCCTTCCTTTTCCCGCATGCTGCTTTAGCCAATTGAGCCAGAGGCTTTAGCTGCCTTTGGAGTGGGTAGGGGAGTAGGAGAGGGTCTTCTGCCTGCTTCAGTTTGCTTAATTAAATCTCCTCTTGCTCCAGGGAGGCTGTGCTGGATGCTTTTCTGGATGACGGCTTTCTCATTCCCACATTTGAGCAGTTGGCAGCTTTGCAGATAGACTATGAAGGTAGGGTCCTGGGGGCTCACTGCAGCCCTAGGGTACTGTGTTTCTTGGGCTAGAATGCCAGGGGTGGCCAGGGTGACCCTGGACTGGGTGTCAAGGGCTGTTTCCTGCCATTCCATAGCCTCTGGAAGCCCCTCTCAGCTGAGCAGAACAGGTAGCCCCACTGATAAGGAGTGGCTGGGCTGTTCTTCCGTGGCCTGGAATTGGATGGGGTCGGGCGGGGTGGAGTAGGGGGAGTCTTAATGCCGTTATTGTGCTGTGTTAACTATGATTTAGCCACTTGCTAGAGAGCTAGAACAGCAGAACTGGAAGGGCCTGTGAGGTCATCTAGTCCAAGATCCTCGTGTTACAGACGGGCAGACTGAGGTCCAGAGAGGGGAAGGTACTGACCCAAAGTCACACAGTGAGTTATTGACAAAGCTGAAAGCTAGAACCAGAACTCTTTTTCTTTTATACTCTGTTGTGAGTCAGTTGTTGGTTGCCAGATACTAACTGGTTTCTCTCCCCACTGTTCTACTTTCCTCTTTCCTCTCGTTCTGTGGTGACAACTCTGTTGGTGGTGCTGGGGCCCCGTTCCTTCTCCTTCACTCTCTCCTCCCCTTCCTCTCCCCCTTCTCTTCCTCTCTCCTCCTTTCCTCCCTCTCCCCCTCCCTTCCTCCTTCCCTCTCTCCCTTTCTCCCTGTCTCCCTCCGCTTTCCTTGTCAATGGGTGTCCCTCACAAACCAGAAAATGTGGACTTGAATGACGTCCTGGTGCCAAAGCCATTCTCTCAATTCTGGCAGCCCCTGCTCAGGGGCCTGCACTCCCAGGCCTTCACGCAGGCCCTGTTGGAGAGGATGCTCTCCGAGCTGCCAGCCTTGGGGGACAGCGGGATCCGGCCCACCTACATCCTCAGATGGACCATTGAACTGATCGTGGCTAACACCAAGACTGGTGAGGGAGACTAGCCCTAGCCCCAGGACCTGATGCAGCCCAGGCAAGAGCATCTGCCACTGTCCTCAGCTCTCGGCTGAATAGCATCAGGCAGACACATTCCTTCTTGAAGGTTCAGGTTTGCCCAAGAGGGCCCAGTGGCAGCAGTGGACAGATCTCCCTCCACCTTTTTTTTTTCCTCAGAGCCAACTAAACTGGGCTGGGGCAGAGGGCCCTGAATTGTTTGAGCAATTGGGAGGTATAGAGTAAGGAGTCTAGGGGGATGGGGAGGAACAGAGCCAAGCTTTTCAAGGTGCAAGATTGGGTGGGGGGCTTACTGATTCCTTCTCCTCAGGCCCTCTCTTCTCTCTCAGGAAGGAATGCCCGCCGATTTTCTGCAAGCCAGTGGGAAGCAAGACGGAGCTGGAGGCTATTCAACTGCTCTGCCTCCCTTGACTGGCCCCGGGTGGTTGAGTCCTGCTTGGGCTCACCTTGCTGGGCCAGCCCCCAACTCCTTCAGCTGTAAGTCTCTTGAATTCCATCTGATAAGAGAGTGAGGCCTTATAGGCCTCAGGGCCACACGGCCCTAGAATGGCAGAGTTGGGCCAGCCCTTACAAGGATACCTAGTTCCGTCCCCTTCCTACTAACAGATAGGGGAACTGAGTCCCAAAGACGAGAGGGGTAGACTATTCTTGCCAGATCACACAGCTTAAGACTTGGCTGAACTGAGTCCAGTATGAGAATGAATGAGACAACCCCCCTAGAGTGCTTAGCACAGTGGCCTGTACAGAGTAGGTGCACAATAAATAGTAGCTGCTATTTAGTTATCGAACCCAGTCTTCTGATTCTAAGCCCAGTGCTGTCTCTTCTATTATCTTCCCAAAGTATACCTCTCATACATAGGTGCTCAGCAACCTTCAGTGGCTCCCTGTTGCCTTCCTGATGAAGTCTAGGCTTCTTAGCCTGACGTTCAAAGATCTTTCTGATTCTGCCCCAACCTATCATTGGTAACCGTACCTCCTGTGATTTCCCTTTACACAGTCCACCCTGGGCTCTATGGTCAAACTGAATATTCTGCTGGTTCCTGTAAAATGCCTGTGGTTGTCTCCCTTTCCTTTTCTCTGTCATTTTCTGACCTCGAGCCACTTCCCTCATATTCATAGAAGCCTTTAGCGCTCAGTTATCTTCCTGTTTTCTGGAACAACATCTGTTTTCATTTGAGTGACCCATCTGACACTCTGCAGCTCCTCAACACTAGTGACTTTAATTCTCCACTACACTCAGCTACCCATTTCCAACACTCAGAGCTGTTCCACCTCCGAAAGCTGACATCCTAGCATCCCCCTCGGTGACCACCACCTCTTGTCCTTCCAGTTCTCACCCTCACATGCTATGACATCTGCTCTTTGCCTGCATCCAGACCTCCATCTCTATTTTCTCCCTCCCTCAACCTTGCTTCCCTTTGATCCTGTCTGTGGTCGATTACATCAGCCACTCATCATCAGCACCCTCAGCTCTACTCATCCTTTGGCATATCTGACTTGCAAACCCCCAAGCTGGGATAGATCTTCCCCACTCTGCTTCCCCCACTCCTCAGCCCGGGTGGCTGAGCTCTGCTGGAGAAAACCACATAGCCCTGCAGATTGCTGCCACTGCAGAGGTATGATTCTTAATCTTGGGCTAAGTCTCAGTTCTGCTTCTCTGAACTTCTCCTTGTTTTCTGTCCACTTTCTCTCCCATTTTCTGACTGTTCTAAGCCCCTACCACTCACTTTAAGCCCCTCCCCCTCTCCCATTCCTTTCGAGGAACCCTAACTTCCTCGAGCACATGGAGGCATCCGGCAGGGCCCACTTACCTGAAATCCAGCCCTCGTGAACTGATAGGCGGCTACACTCAACCTTCTCACTAGTCTGGGGATGAGGTGGCCTTACCCCACCTCAAAGTCTGCTCCTCCACCTGTGTTCTGGAGCCGCCTCCACCAACATCGCTGGGGCCTCACCCCAGCCTCTCCCTTGCTCTACTGGCTCTTGTTCTTCAACTTATGAACATGTCTGAGTTTTTCTCATCTTAAAACAAGACAACAATAACAGCAACACAAGCAAAATCTCCTTTGACCCAGCATCCCTCTGTTGGGTTATCATGAGCTTATTATTCCTGTCCCATCAAAACGTCTCAAAAGAGTAGTCTACACTCAACAATGTTGATTTCCTCCCTACCCTCTTACTCCTTAACTTGCTGCAATTTGGCATTCACCCCAGAGCTGCTTTGACCTCCTAATTACCAAATCAAGTGGGCCCTTGTCTGTTGTTGTGTCTGCTGCATTGATGCTGTTTACCACTCCCTCCTTGAAATGCCTGTGCTTTTTTACTAGTTCCCATTAAGTGCCAAGACCCAAATCTCTTTATCTAGCCCAGGCCTTTCATTCAGCTCCTATGTGACTGCATGTCAGGCCTCTCCCCTTGGATGGCCCATAGGCACCTTACTGTGACCAAAAGGGAATTGGTCATCTTACTCCACACCCCAACCCCAAAGTGATCTTCCTCCTCTGCTCCCTGTCTCACTTGGTGGCAGCACCATCTACCCTGTCATGTTGACTCTCTCAAGTACTTCCCAAATCTGAGGTTTTGTGTTGCTGTGTCTACTTTCCCTGGTGTCTCCTTCCCTCTATCAGACTAAGCTTTTCAAGCACAAGGGCTCTGCATTAGCCACCTGTGCCACAGCACACCACACAAGCCCAGGCCCCATATGGGCCTCAGTAAACATTGAACTATACTCTGCTGTCTCATTGCCAGCAGTATTGTCTTTGGTGGGAGCTGACTCCATTCCTGGAGAATAAATGAAGTGGGAGTCTGGATGCTAAGACCCTCTTAGACTCCTGATCCCCCCCATAAAGTCAGAAAGTCTTTCTTGAACCCTGATGGCATTTGGGGCACAGTAGTAGCTTATAAGTAGCTTATAAGAGAAAAATGTAGCCTTGTAGACGAAGTCAGCCAGGGCAAGACCTCTAGGAGATGAGACTGAACCAAACAGCCAAATCTCCAGATGTGTGTGTTCATGACAGGAAGAGATATGGATGGGTAGGAAACTGGGGGGAGAACCAAAAAGGCCTGGAGGGTCAGGAAAGCATCACAGACGAGGCATTTAAGCAATTCAAGCAGGAGAAAGAATAAAGGAAGTTTCAAAGTCCAGAAGGAACATGGCATGTGTATGTAATGGGGGGAGGGAGTGAAAAGAGCATCGTGGAGAGGTTTGGATAGGTGGCCTTCAAGGTACTTTCCAATCCTAAGTGCCTGCAGAGTGGAAGCTGCTGGTCTTGGAGAAGTCTGGACCACAGAGATCTTCTCCCAACCCAAGCACACCAGAGGGATGCGACACATGCCAGCAGTAACAGCGGCTCACTTGGGTACGATTCCTTGTGCACAGATCCTGCCTTTCCCAGACAATCAGTGAATCTAGTTCTAATCACCCCATTACACAGACTGGGAAACGAGATTTCCCTAGGTGTTATACTGCAAGTCTGCAAGTCAGAGCTGGGTCTAGAATCCAGATACGCTGTCTTTTTTTTTTTTTATGAGGAAGATCAGCCCTGAGCTAACATCTGATGTCAATCCTCTTTTTTGCTGAGGAAGATTGGCCCTGGGCTAACATTCGTGCCCGTCTTCCTCTGCTTTATATGGGACGCCGCCACAGCATGGCTTGACAAGCGGTGCGTTGGTGCACGCCCGGGATCCGAACCTGTGAACCCCGGGCCGCCAAAGCGGAGAGTGCGCACTTAACCACTGCGCCACTGGGCCAGCCCAAGATATCCTGTCCTTAACTCCTGGGCTTTCTACAGCGTCCCGTTAGATTGCACTATTGCAAAAAGCATGTGCTATTAGGCACATACGGAACTTTGATTTCCCCAGAGGAAAAATAAAAGATACCCCTGGAAATTAAGTATCAAGCATGGTGCTGTGTTGTTTTGAAGTTATTTCATTTCATTTGACACAGCAATCTTTGGAGGTAGAAGTATTATATCCTTATTTGACAGATGAGAAAGACGTTGAAGCTCTGAGGAGTGAAGTGACTTATCCAAAAGTTGCATGGTTTGTTGATGGTGGAACAGGGATTTGGGCCCAGGTCTTGTGAGTCCAAAGTCTACCTTCTTCCACCAACCTGACCTGTGAGCTTCTCAGTCCCGAGCCATGACCAGACAAACCCGAGGAAGGAGATGCCTTTTAAGATTCGTATCACCCCTGCATCTCAGTGGTCAGACTAGACAGCTCGAAATAGCGATTGCGTAATAACAAACAGCAGTGATATGGTGTCTTGCCAATATTAAGTGCCTGGGAATATTTATTATTAATCATACTAATGGAGCACAGTGAGAGAGAAGAGTGTTTCCTCTCTGGCTTTTCCTCTAATAAGGCTGAAAGCTTTTCAAGAGCTTCCCCCAGACAGCCAATATCAATTCAATTTGAGCCAGTGTCCTCTTAGAATATGAAATTAGCCCTGCAGAAAGGGTCTCCCAGCCCTGCCCCCAGTAACCAGCAACCAGTGACCAGAGACTACACATATGTGGCCAGTCTGCCTGCAGGGCCCAGAGAGAAAACAGCCCACTGAGCATATGGCCCCTTCATGAATGACCCACAGTTCAAACTCAATACACCTAGAAGGAAACTATCCATCTGTCCACCCCACCCGTGCCTCCCACGGTGACCAGGTGCCTACTAGGTGCCCGGTACTATGTGAGGCTCTGCAAGGGGTGCTCGCCCTCTGCTTCCCCAGGAGCTCTCCTTCCCAACAGCTCTGTATCTGTAGGTGATTTTGCTGTTAGCACCGTCCTTTGTATGCACATCATCATCATCTTTAACTCTCCTCTGCCTGACCCCTGTCATCTGGTCACCAAGCTCTGCTCTCTGTTTGTCCTTCACAGCTTCTCTCCCTCCCCTCTCCACTGCCAGTGCCCTAGGTCAGCCCTCACCAACTCTCCCTGGTCTCCCTACCTCCGGGCTGCCCCACCCAGGCCATCCTCCATATGGCCACCCTCCACACAGGCACTACAGTGATCTTCAGAAACGCGGCCTTCACCTGCACTCAGAGTTGTCAAGTGACCCCCTGTGCCCAACACACACACTTAACCTTTACAGCCTTCTCTTCCTCCCACAGCTCCTCGGCACAGCCCTTCCCCTTGAGCCAGGCTACTCTCACCACATGCACATGGCACGGCGTGCTCGCTCTTGTCTCTGCACAAAGCCCTCTCTTGATCTCTCCTGCCCTCCTTTGCTCTCTGCCTCCCCCCAGCTCCTGTAGTGCCCGAGGTCTGCAGTGCTCATCTGGCCTCCCTCCCACATCCAGCTTTGTCTTGTCAACTGCTCCTTTTTCTTCTTTTCCTCCATTCCAGGCTGATCTGTAGTTGCTCCTGGAAAGGGATCACACTTTGTGTTCCAGGCAGAAGGAGCCCAGCATACTTCCTGGCATATCTTTGGAGCTCAGGACAGGTGGCTCAGCTAGGCCAGAGCAAGAGAGAGATCTGCCATTCTCATGTCAAGCCCTGCAGGTCTATTGGCTAGTTTGTATATTTACATATCATTTCAGTACAGACTAATAGCTATCATTTATTGCATGCCCACTATGTGCCAGGCACTGTACATGAGCTATCTTATTTACTCCTCCCAAAAACCCTCTAATTTGGCTGCCATTATTGTCCTTATTTTACTGAGAATGGAAGTGTGCCACAGAGATGAATTAGAGAGCTTGTTCAGGGTCCAGGGTCCTGTTGTTTCTGTTTTCTGTCTGCTCTACTCACTGCCTTTCAGAGGTAGGTCGGGAAGCTCAGTGACCAAGTTCAAACCATGGAGTGTTGGGGTATGAAGTGACTTGAGATTTTGAATCTTGCTTTCTCTATCCCTCCCTTTGCTCAGCATCTTTAAAGCCATGGGGCAGGTCCTGCCAGACGGGGAGCAAGAAAAGCTGCTGCGCATCTGTTCCATTTATAACCAGAGTGGAGAAAATAGCCGGGTGCAGGAGGGCTCAGAGGCCTCCCCCATTGGGAAGTCTCCATACACACTGGACAGCCTGTATTGGAGCCTCAAACCAGATTGCTCTAGCTCTGGGCCTGAAGGAGAAGCCCAGCAGCAGGAGGAGCAGGGCAGCCTTAATGATGTTAAGGAAGATGAGGAGGAGGAGAAAGAGGTTTTGGAAGACCAGGTGGAGGAGGAGGAAGAGGAAAATGATGACCAGGAGAAGTGGAAGGAGGAGGTGGAGGATGAAGATGATGATGATGATGACGATGACGATGACGACGACGACGAAGATGATGAGGAAGACAGAATGGAGGTGGGGCCTTTCTCTACAAGGGAGGAGTCCCCCACTGCTGAGAAAGCTAGGCTTCTGGCCCAGAAAAGAGGAGCTTTGCAGGGTTCTGCATGGCAAGTTAGCTCAGGTGAGAAACCTGATACTCACTTTCTCCCCATACCAATCTTCCGTCTTTGGTTGGCTCTTGAGGATTCCCTCCACTGTCATGCTGCTGGCTGCTTCATTCAGAGAGCATAGAAGGGTAGTGTGGGTGTAGGCACTAGGCAGCAAACCATGGAGGAGACCACGAGAGGTAGGGGGTAGATACGTGTATGATTCTGCATGTGTTTTTCATGTGCAGTGATCCAAGGGCAAGGAGACAAAAAAGAGTGCTTTCTGTGTTATGTGAATGTGTATGTACACATGGAGGCTGAGTGGTAATGAGACAGGATTTTGCTGTGTGTATGAAAAAGAAGGAACGCAAGGGCATTAAGTCAAAGGAAGTGGAAGTGAGATCAGAAGAGTGAGAATAAGGAGTGGTGTGTTTTTAGGTGACCATACAAGTTTGTGACACAATGCCGGGAGGGGGCCAAGGAGGGTTGGGTGATAAGAAAGTGGGGGACCCTTTCTTGAGGGTGGTCTTTTGAGTGTCCTCATTTAGGTTAGGGAGCAGGAACCTTAAGGCAGGGAGACCCTGAAGGAATGAACAGTCTGGTGTGGGGGAGGGTATGTGTGTATACTGACACACTGGAGGCAGGGGTAGATGTGGGGGCACAGCCTGTGTGATGGAGTCTGAGGGACGGAGGGGAAACAGACTGGGTGTGGTGTATTGTGGGCATGGTGAGAAACAATAGGGAGAGAGGGGAGGCAGTGAAGGAACTTAGGGGGAAAGGTGGAGCCTTTGCCCTTCTGTGGACATGTGTGTGGAAGGACTGGGGCATAAAGGCCCTGAGTGCCAGGGGTGGGGGAACATGTTTATGTCTGTATTTGTGAATGGGTGTGTGCCTACATGTGCTGGACAAACCAAGGCACAGTGACAGAGAAATCTCTTAGGGCAAGGAGGGCTGTGTTTGGAGATCTTTGTAAATATTGAAAGGGAGTGGCATCAACACAGGCAGAAGTGTGTGTGTGTGTGTGTGTGTGTGTGTGTCACAGAGAGTAGGGGCTATGAAAAGAGAAGTCATTGTGAAGAAGGCTGTACGTGCATCTGTGCATACATGCACACATGGTCATGTATGTTTTTGGAAGGGGGGCAGAGTTGCTGAGACCCATGGGGGCCAGGAGGTATCTGTATGAGGGCGAGAACTGGTAGCAATGAGAGGTGGGGATATATGGAAGGACATGAGAACAGGCAGTGAGACAGCCATCCAGAGATGGTCTGTGTGTGTCCATGCTGTTACTGAGGGGACATGTACAAGGGTGCAGGCTAGAGAGGTAAGGGCAGTTATGTAGGCAGCGTTGGGGATGTTAGTGATGGGGAGAGAGTATGGTCAGGTCAGTGACAGGCATGTGAGGGAGTGATCCCTGTGTACGAAGATATTTTTGTATGCATAGGGCAATGCAGGGCATTAAGATAGACACAGTTTCCTTCCTGTAAAAGAGCCAGAGGTGGGGGATGGGCAGGCAGAGGAACAGCCCTTGCTGAAGGGAATTCTATGGCGAACATAAAAAGCTAGTCCAGGATTGATACTTTCCAGAATGCCAGGGGCATTATGACAGGGAGAATTCTTTGGGTACCAGGGAGATGTGGGAGGCCAGAGACTGAATCTACTTGGAGGAGCTCACTGGTTAAGGCTTCACTTGAAAACATTGGATACACTGGTTTAAGGATGGGGATGGGCACAGGGATTTAAGATAAACTGTGTGGAGAGTGTTTAACTGATAGGACAGAGGAGATGGGGAGTACCTGACATGGTCCATTCTAAAATGGAGTATCTTTGGGGTGAGGTGGGGAGTGGTTTGTGAACGTGGAAAGGCTGGGCGTTAAAATCTTTCTTTCTCTCCCTTACCATTGCTTCCTTTGTGTGTGCATACACATATGTGGGGATGCAGGGACATTAAGATTTCTGGTTTATGTGTCTGTGAATGAGGTGTGGGAGGCAGGGAGTGAAACTGGGAACATTTGTTAAATGGAGGGCTTGGTCTATGTGCTTGTGTATGTATACTTAGGTGGTGGTGGGGGGTGGGATATACAGTGAGAAAGCCCTTTCCCAGAGAAGGGATGTTCTTTGTGTGTGCATCTGGGGACAGTAAAACCTTGCAGGGGGCAGGGGGAGCATAATACCTCTGAGAGAGAGTGTACCCTGAGGTGGTGTGTGGGTGTGTGTGTGTATCTCTCAAGGCAAAGCCACTAAGAAATGATATGGCACTCAAGCACATTGGGGGGTTTGTGTGTAGATGTGTAGGAAATCTAGGTCATTCAGATACTCCGAGGTATCTGTGGGTTTGGGGAGGAAGTGCTGTGGGAATTCTGGGGCATCCAGACTTTCCTGGATATATGTGTGTGTGGAAATAGTGGTAAGGGTGAGAGGTTGAGGCAGTGATACAGCTAGGTCTGAAAAAGACATTGTTCTCTGTATCTATGTGAGGGCACCTTTAGGGGAAGCGGGAGAAGAGCAGAGAGGAACAAAAATGTCTGTAGTTGTGTGCATGGGATGTGGGGTGTGGTAGGGTGTGTGTGTGTGTGTGAACACATAGAGGGAAAGAAGGGCCATAAAGAGTGTATGAGGGAGTATGGAATGGGTGGGGAGCATTAAGGTGGAGAGGAGCTCATGAGAAGTGATGCAGAGAGGAGTGAGGCTGGAGATACACAGAGAGCCCATGCTAGTGGGCTAATTGAGGTGAGTGGGTGGACAAGGTAAGTGGGCTTGTGCATCAGTCTGAGAACTAATGCTCTTGCCTCCTCCCTTTGCTCCACAGAAGATGTGCGATGGGACATCTTCCCCTTAGGCCGAATGCCAGGTCAGACCGAGGACCCAGCAGAGCTTATGCTGGACAGTTATGACACCATGTATCTTTTGGACCAGCCTGTGCTAGAGCAGCGGCTGGAACCCCCAACATGCAAGACTGGGTGAGTACCCGTGGCAGCAGGATTTCTTACCCCTTTCTCTGGAGGGAAGGAGGGAGGGTGGGATGGAGGAAGGGTGGGACACAAAGTGGGGTGGGTGGGGGAGATAGCTGTCTCCAGTCATGGCCTAAATGAGGGATGTATAAACTCCAGTCCCTGGCTGAGCTCTGGCCAGAACTCCCAGCCCCTAGTTGGGGGAGCCAGTGAGGCAGCCATGCAGAAATGACTTGGCACCGCTCTCAGACTGCATCCAGTTTGTGTGTGTGTGTGTGTGTGTTTGTGCACGCGCACGCACATTTTGGGAAGAGAGAGGTCCATAGCTTTCAACAGATCCCTTAAAAGGTCCACCACTCCCAAAAGGTCAAGAACGGATGCTCTAATCCAACTTCTTCATGTTCCTGAGGAGAAAACTGAGGCCCACAAAGGGGAAGGGATTTGTCCAGAGGTGCACAGAATAATCGGTAGGCCTCCCCACACTGTCCAGGCATCTTGGTAGCAAGCCTTGCGCAGGGCTCCATGCTCTCCCTCGAAACTCGCCTCTGGATCATAGGCGTGGGAGCCTTTGGGTCATCAGGGAGCCAGGAACCAAGCAGCCCTTGCTCAGGGGCTCCGCTGGTAACACAAAGAAGCCCGTCCAGAGGGCGTGTATATTCCGGAATGCGGGGCCGTTGTGACCAGAAGAATCCTGTGAGTACCAGAGAGAGACCTCTGTGGGCCCCTGAAACTGAGAGTCTGTCCCTGTGCCTCCTACCCACTCCCTGGGAGATGAGCCCCTCTTCCTCTGGACATTCGGGAGAAGGCTAGTAGAACCCAGGGGTTCCAGCAGCTGGCCAGGCCCAAGGCAGTGCCCTGGACTTGGGTCCTAGGCCAGGGAGCAGCAGGGCTCTTGGAGAGGAGAGGAGGTAGCTGGGGAAGCCAGGTATTCTGTAGTTGGGAGTGGGGCCCACACGTCTGAGAGAGAAAGAGGCCGCCTTTTCCCTTGGGTAAGGCTGGCTTGATGAGCACCAGGGTATCATGGGTGAAGTGTGGGCAGGTAGAGCTGTTAAATCCAGAAGGAAGCTGATTAGGCCCAGCTCTCACACCCGCTGTAGTCGGGAGGCTTCTTCTGCTGGAGCGGTCATGCCTACCCCTGTTCCTTGTCTCAGCTCCACCCCTGACTTGGCTATGTGGCCTTGAGCAAGTCCCTTTTCTTCATCTCTGTGCCTCAGTTCCAGGACTAGATCATCTCTTAGGGTTTTTTCAGCTGCAGTAGTGTAACCATGGATCTGCCTGAGGGAAAGGATGATGGCTTTGCTCTCAGCTATCACCCTCATCTACCTGGAAGGACCTTTGACCTGCAGGAAGCAGGGGAAGGAAGAGTGTTCTCAGCAGGGCCAGGGGTGGGGAGGATAGTCGTCTCCCTAGAGCAATCTTGCAGTCCTGGGATGGGAGCTCGACCTATCGTCTCCCTAGAGCAATCTTGCAGTCCTGGGATGGGAGCTCGACCTAGCCCTGTAGCACAAGCCTGACTTTGGGCCCCTTAACCAGCTATTGGGAGTGGGAGGGATCCAGCCCAGCATCCTCTGGGCCCCCAAGCTCTAGGGCCTTGGAAGAAGGCCTGTTAAGGCAGCCACTTTCACTATCTTCCTGGAGGTGGGGTGGTGTGGGTTCCCCTCTTCTACCTCAACCCAAATAGGTCTGCTTTAATCGGGTTTATATCCTGGGACTCTGCATAAAGTTTCATTTGAAAAGTTCCACTCCTCCCCTCCCTCCCTCCACTGAGGGGAGGGCAGAGCCACCCTTGGGGCCCATCTGAAGTGGTTTCTCAGATTTGCTCCAGTTTCTTCTTCGTAAAGCTAGGCAGGAGGGTGGGCCCTTCCCATAGACAAACACACATCAAGCACCCTTAGTCCTTCCAGAGCTTAAAGCTGCCTCCTTCCCTGACTGACCGCACCCCCTCTCTCCACAGCACCCTGGGCCTGAGCTGTGGCATCGGCAGTGGCAACTGCAGCAATGGCAGCAGCAACTTGGAGGGGCTTGTCTGGAGCCAGGGCCAGCTGCATGGGCTCAAAACTGGCCTGCAGCTCTTCTGATGCCTGCCCTGGTGCAAGTGTTCATCCAGCCCTGCTGGGGCAGCAGCCTCCCCCCATCCAGTGCACCTGATGCCCATGAAACAACCTGGGAGACAGCCCACATCAGCTCGGTTTTCCACCACAGTGGAATTTTGAATATGTTCTGGGGATTTTTTGTTTTGTTTTGTTTTGAAAAACAATAAACAGGAAACTGTTGTTTCAGGGTTTGTGAGATGAGGGTGTGTGCTGGGGCAGACCAATGTAATTCTCCTTTTCTGGGGGCTCCAGAGAATGCAGGACCATAACAGGGCTTTTGAGTGGGAGCAGGGTTCTGAGGCCCCTTGGGCCCACTGCCCCTGATTGTTTCTACCACCAGTCTCCACTCATAGCTTCTTCCTGACTCAAACTATTTTCCCTCCCCTGAGCTGTAGTATGGGGCCAGGTCACTTGGAAGCATCAGGCCCCAGAAGAGAGGCATTGCTGGCCATAGAGCCCAGCCAGCGTCAGGGGAATCTGTTGAGAACCTCCCTGACAGCAAGAAGACCCAGGCCTTCCTGATGCTATCCAGCAGGCTTCTGCCTCATTTCCCTCCCTGCTCTCGCTGGACACCAAACAGTAGTTGAAAGCCAAAGAGAAACCTTTCTTTGTCACTTATTCACTCCTTTGTTCTAGAAAAGATGCACACTTCCCTGTGGTGGACATTGGAGCCAGAGAAATGTCTTAGGGACTGACCCAGAGCTCCACTATGGCTACCCAATTCCCTCAGACACTCAGAGTGCCTACCCTATGTCAGCCCTGAGCTGCCAAGAGACAGGGATGAATAAACCATGTTCTCATCCCTCAGAGCCCTCTGCCTGGGTAGAAAGGACAAAGTCACCAATTATGATAACCTGATGCCTCTGCTAAGTGCTTTATGGGAGCTCTGGTGTGCCACAAGTTCTTGGTTTATGTCAGAGTGATATTTCCAGGGTGGTGGTTGACTCATGTCAAGTCTGGCTACAGTATTCCCCATCCCCACTCTGGGAAGAGTGATAGCTGGGTGAGAGAGTGGGCATCTCTGGGGCCAAGTTTGGGTCCAAACAAGGGGAAGCAAGGGACAGAACCAGGTATACCAACCAAGAAACTGTCCCAAGAAGTGGCTGAGCCAAGGAATGATGAAGGAGAGGGCTTACGCTATGAAAATGCCAAGGAGGAATTTAGTGGAAATGTCATGCCAGACCCCAAAAGTTTTAACTTGAGTTGGGACCCCTAGGGAGTCCCCAACACCTCTTCAAGGATATCCTGAATATCTTTGTGGGTATGAGTATGTAATCATTTTTCTAAGCTAGTCCACAGATCTAATCAGATTACCAAGGGATCCATCAGCCTAATAGCCCAACAGGGTTAAGATTTCCTGTCCTGTGTGGACCCAAGTATTAGGCATGGGCAGAGCAGTCTCTTGCACTGGTTAATGCAAAGTCAGTTTCCCTCCAACTCTTCCCTCTCTTGCCACAATAGCATATGCTAAGTCTTTTAGCATCCTGGAATGTCAGAGCTGAAGGAGTCCTCAGAGCATCTAGGGACCACCTCTAGTCAAGGGATTTGCAAATATGTACTCTAGGAGATGATAGCTCAGCACCTGCTCTGTAGGAAGGTGGGTGCTGCAAGCTCTTGGTTCCCCTCCACTACTTCTCTAGAGCAGCCTGGATTTTATTTATGGTGTATGTATTGGTATCCTATGTAAGAATTTTTCTTTTTCAAAATGAGTTTTGCTGCTAAAAAGTTTGCAGATCATAGTTCTAGTCTAGCCCCCTCATTTTATGCATTGAGACACCGAGGCAGACAAAAAGGAAGGGGATTTGCCGAAAGGCACAGAACAGGTTAATAGCTTGGTGTAGATCCGCATTTCTTGCAACATCAGTATCATCTGGGTACTTGTTAGAACTATAAATTATTGATTCCAGACCTGAATTAGAAAGGTTGAAGGTGGGCAGCAATCTGATTTAACAAGCCCTTCAGGTGAGTCTGATGCACACTGAAGTTTAAGATGCACTGGTATGGAGAAAAAAGCTACCCAAAGACCTAGGTTGCAGACAAGTTCTAGAATTTAATGGGAGCAACTTTGGGCACATCATGCCACAGTTTCTTCATCTGTAGAAGGAGGATAATATTTGCCTTGCAGGCTTGTTTATAAGGATCAAAAAAGATAATAGATGTGAAAGTGCTCTCTAAAGCTTATCACGCTTTCTATGTGTGAGTGGTGTGGATTCACGGCAGGGTTGGTGGCAGGGTTGGTGGGTCTTGAACTCAGGACTCTGGTCCCCATATATTCTAGAACAAAGTGCTTTCCCTTGGCCCTCCAAGACTGACCTAAAGATGAGGAGCAGGCTATCTGAGCTCATTTCTAGTCCAGGTCCAGGGAGCGTAAGAGCCAAGGGTCATTGTTGGCTAGAGTCCTCATCAAACCTGGGATTTGTGAAGCCAGGTCCCTGAGAAGGGCTGCTTCAGATGGCAGGAGCGGAAGTGGTGGTGGGGGGTGAGGGAGGTGGGTGAGGGAGGACCAGCCAGGAAGCAACCTTAGCCCAATGCCCTTGGACCTTTTCCTTCTGACTAGAGATCAGAAACTGATTAGAAAAAGTCTTTGAACTGCACACATTTAACTGGGGAACAGGGTTGGGGGGGGGGTCAAGGGAAGGGAGCATAGATTGTACTGTTACTCAACAATAGTAATTAAGAGTGACTTCTTCTGATAGGAGATAATACATCAGTGATGAAGAACATGGTTTCTGCCCCTAAGGAACTCCTTGTTTCGTAGGGGAGTCTGCATGCCAGCATAATTATAACAGCGTGACAAGTGCTAAGACAGAGGTATTCAAGATACCTGGAAGGCCCACTAGGGGGAAGGCCTAACAATCTGTGGACAAGGAGGTAGGACAGCTTAAGGGAAGAGGTGACATTAGCAGTGAATCTTTTTTTTTCTTTATCTTTTTCCCCCCAAAGCCCCAGTAGATAGTTGTATGTCATAGCTGCACATTCTTCTAGTTGCTGTATGTGGGACACAGCCTCAGCATGGCCGGAGAAGCGGTGCGTCAGTGCGTGCCTGGGATCCGAACCCAGGCCGCCAGCAGTGGAGCGCACGCACTTAACCGCTAAGCCACGGAGCCGGCCCAGCAGTGAATCTTTAAAGGCAAGTGTTTACTAGTCAGAACAAGGAGTGAAAAGAAGGTAAAAGTCTGGAGGAGATAAGAAAGAGCATGGCATGTTGGAGTACCAGTGAAGAAGTGTCGAGGATAATTGGAACATAGGTCATGTGAAGAACATGGTAGGTCCTGAGGCCAGAAAGGTAAGTTAGAGAGGGGTATGGTCAGACTAGTTGATTTTCCACCTATGATTAGGGAGAGGCACTGGACATTGAATTGCCCCTTTCTGGAATTCTAACTATTCCTATTACTCCCCCTAACCTCACACTCCACTGCCCTCCAAGAAAGTCTTAATTTATTAATGTATTCTCTAAGTGTGCTTTATTTCTTCACTAGTGTGCAAATTCCAGAATATAGAAACTCTTTTCTCCTTTTCTGTGTCTCCCTAGCCCAGTATAGGGCAGGCCCCTATTTGGTACTCAGTGAGAACTTGATAGTGGTCTAGTAGTTAAGATTTGGCACTCTCACTGCCACGGCCCAGATCCGTTTCCTTGTCAGGGAACCATACTACCCATCTGTCAGTTGTCATACTGTTGCAGCTGTGTGTTACTGTGATGTTGAAAGCTATGCCACCGGTATTTCAAATACCAGCGGGGTCACCCATGGTGGACAGGTTTTAGCAGAGCTTCCAGACTAAGACAGACTAGGGAGAAGGACCTGGCCACCCATTTCTGAGAAAACTGGCCATGAAAACTCTATGAATAGCAGCAGAGCATTGTCTGATATAGTGCCAGAAGGTGAGTTTAAAAAAAAAAACAAAAAACAAAAAAACTCTTGCCTTTAAAAAAAAAGACCAGGCAGGATTCAGCTCTGCTATACACAGGGTCACTGGGAGTCAGAATTGACTCGAGGGCACTAACAACAACAACAACAAAGAACTTGATACATGTATGCCTGAGAAATGTGAGAGGAGGCAGCAAGGGTGGAGACTGAAGAGGAAAAGGGTAGGGAGAGATGAGCACTCTTAGTCCCAAGGAGGATGATAAAAGAAAAAAAGATATTCTCAGATTAGCTTCTTCTAAATAGTCCCTTCCAAAGGCTCCTATGCTGGGCTCCCCTGCAGCCATTATGGCCACCTCTGCTTTTACAATGAGACTGGCTTTGTGGGGGGGAGCAGAGGGAGGTGAGTAGGAGGCCCCAGAGAGGCCTGAGGGAAGAGCAGACACCACTTTGATGAAGGGCTCACTGGCCTGGGAACAATGAGGCCTGGGGTTCCAGTCGTGCCTTTGTCACTAACTCCCTGTTTAGTCTTGGTCACATCTCTTCAGTTCTTGGAGCCTCAGCGCCCACACCTAAAACCTGATGGAATTGATGCAGCTGAGTATTATTTCCCAAGTGACTTCTCTGTGAAGTGTAGGGTTCCAGGCCACTTCTAGTTCTGATAGACTGACTAAGGCCCAGCAGATGATGTCTCTGTGGCCCTGTGGCTATTCAGGGGAGAAATTATAAGTTGTTTACAGAAATAATCCTGGGCCCTGAGCCGTCCACCTTGTTCTGGCCCAACCAGTAGAGGCCCAGCCAAGCCCAGCTGATGCCAGCCCTGATATCAGTTCCCCTACATTAAACCCAGCATATATGGGGCTAAAACCAAAAGCACTCATCCCCTTTCCCTGCTTCTCTAAGTTGCATACATATGTAAATATTGGTTTTTTAAAACTTTGTATCCCTGAACTTCAAAAGGCACGAATTGTTAAAAGCCCAGATGGCCTCATGCTGGGCTCATGCTGAAGCTTTGACTAATTACCAGTTCTTGAGGTTTGTTACAGG